CAATGAGAGGTGGAATGATGCAATGAGAGGTAGAATTAAGCAATGAGAGGTGGATTGATGCAATGAAAGGTAGAATTAAGCAATGAGTGGTGGATTGATGCAATGAGAGGTGGATTGATGCAATGAAAGGTAGAATTAAGCAGTGAGAGGTGGATTGATGCAATGAAAGGTAGAATTAAGCAATGGGAGGTTGATTGATGCAATGAGGTAGAATTAAAGCAGTGAGAGGTGGATTGATGCAATGAAAGGTAGAATTAAGCAGTGAGAGGTGGGTTGATGCAATGAGGTAGAATTAAGCAATGAGAGGTTGATTGATGCAATGAAAGGTGGATTGACGCAATGAAAGGTAGAATTAAGCAATGAGAGGTGGATTGATGCAATGAAAGGTGGATTGATGTAATGAGAGGTGGATTGATGCAATGAAAGGTAGAATTAAGCAATGAGAGGTGGAATCATGCAACGAGAGGTGAATTGATGCAATGAAAGTTAGAATTAAGCAATGAGAGGTGGATTGATGCAATGAAAGGTGGATTGATGCAATGAGAGGTAGAATTAAGCAATGAGAGGTGAATTGGTGCAATGAGAGAAGGAATGATGCAATGAGAGGTGGATTGATGCAATGAGAGATAGAATTAATCAACGAGAGGTGGATTGATGCAATGAGAGGTAGAATTAAGCAGTGAGAGGTGGGTTGATGCAATGAAAGTTAGAATTAAGCAATGAGGGGTGGATTGATGCAATGAGAGGTAGAATTAAGCAGTGAGAGGTGGGTTGATGCAATGAAAGGTAGAATTAAGCAATGAGAAGTGGATTGATGCAATGAGGTAGAATTAAGCAATGAGAGGTGGATTGATGCAATGAGAGATTGATTGATGCAATAAGAGATTGATTGATGAAATGAGAGGCGGATTGATGCAATGAGAGGTAGAATTAAGCAATGAGAGGTTTATTGATGCAATGAGAGATTGATTGATGCAATGAGAGGTTGATTGATGCAATGAGGGGTGGATTGATGCAATGGGAGGTAGAATTAAGCAATGAGAGGTGGATTGATGCAATGAGAGGTAGAATTAAGCAATGGGAGGTGGATTGATGCAATGAGAGGTGGAATTAAGCAATGATAGGTGGATTGATGAAATGAGGTAGAATTAAGCAATGAGGTGATTGTGGATTGATGCAATGAGAGGTAGAATTAAGCAATGAGAGGTGGAATGATGCAACGAGAGGTGAATTGGTGCAATGAGAGGAGGAATG